TGAGGAAGAGGAAATTTCAAGGCAGCCCAACATTTAGGCTGTGACATGAGTACTACTGGCTGCTTTTGTCTAGATGTATAGTGAGAATTGGGAGCAGAAGTTTTTGAAAAACTTAGAATTTGTCTTGAAAAGGACTACTTGTAAAGTTGGAGACTAAGGAGGTGGCAAAAGATATAAATATCATTAAAAAGAAACTAAGTCCTTTGAACTGCAGGTAAGAGGAAAGGTTCCTTAAGAATATCTCAAGATATGTGCACACCCATGTTTATAGCGGCACAGTTTGTAATAGCTAAAACTTGGAAACGGCCCATTTGCCCATCAGTTGGAAATTGGATAAAGATGTGGTTTTTCTATGAAATGGAATACTACTCAGCCATAAAGAATGAGAAATTAGATTCATTCATAGGAAAGTGCATGCGTATTGAGGATATACTCCTAAGCTAAATAAATAAGTCACACATGTGTAAATACCGAATAGTTTCTCTGGTGTGAAAAGCTATAATAGTACATAAGATCCTAATGAGATAATTGACAATGTGAAATAGGAAGAAAAGGGGTAAAGGTGTAAGGAAAATGGAAAGGGTAGGGGAAAGGTAATAAGGGAAAAAAATGACAAAATGAAAAAATGGAAATAAAGTGTTTGTAAGCGGGGAGGGGAGGAGGGGGTGAAGGGAGGGCAGGGACAAGGGGAAAAAATGAGAACCAAGACCTGTCATGTAAAGGTACAGATCCCAATGATGAATGTAATTGTATTGTATACCTAAAGTGTACCAATAAACTCAATAAAATAAAAAAGAAAGAATATCTCAAGAATCAGCAAGTTGCCATCCTTTTCAGACTGAAAAATGCAAAAGTATAAATTTTTATTTAAGAAGAAAGCCTCTGGGTCTCCTACTTGAGAAGACACTCCTAGGGAATTGGTTCCTCAGGATTCATTTCACCATGCTTAGTTATCCAGGCACTCAGAGGCTGCTGCTGTCCTGCTGAAGGGGATTCAGTTACTGATTGTGCTGGCAGCAGACCTTGGCACCTCCATGTGATTCTGATTTTCAGGCATGAAGAATGTAAGAGTTGTGGGATCAGGGAGGCTTCCATCCAGATTTCAAAGGAAGGCCTGGGGGGACAACTAGGGAGCCTCTGAGAGAGGAGTATACAAAGCTGTGGGAAAGAAGCCAAAGGTGCAGTGAAGACCCCAGGCAGGTGGAGATGCCAGGAACATAGACCATCTGCTGCGAAAAGCCACAGGCAGTAGGTTTTGCCTGCTCAAGATGGAGGCTATGTGGGCTGAAACTGGCAAGGCCATAGTGGTGGGGCCAGCCACCCCTCTGGATGCATATCTCGCCACTGTGTGTCTTGGCATGTCTGGCACGGAGCTATAGGACTTAATATTTGTCCTGCTGTGTTTTGACCCCCCCCTTTTTTTTGGTTCTGTTCTTTTTTTAATCCCTCTGTTCTTTACTGTTGGAATAGGAATGTCTACCCCATGCAGTGGCATTTTGGCAATGGTGTTTAAGAATTAAATAACTTACTTTTTTAATTTTCAGGGTTTCACTGATAAGCATGTGCCTTGAGTCTCAGAAGAGACTTTGACTCAGACTTTCAGAAATAATGGAACTGTTCAGACTTCAGGGAAGGAATGAACACATTTTTGGTTGTACACTTATATCATGTTAGGCAGAGGTATGACCTTGTGTATACTTGGAGATTAAGTGTGGTTGAAGTGGATATGTTTGGGTGTCAAGTTGACATGGTGTAGATTGTGATAGTTAAACTGGTGAATCAATTAGATTGGCCTGTGAACATCTTAGGGAATTCTTAAAGCACACTTGTGGGTGTATTTGAGTGGGACATCAAGGCCTGACCTTGTGAACTATATCTGACCCCCTTCCTTTTTTATGTTGTTTCCCTGCTTTCTGATCACCATGAAATAAGCAACTTTGCTCCACCACACCCTTCCTACCATGATGCTCCTACCTTGGAGGCAGCTTACCATGGACTGAATCCTATAAAATAATGAGCCAAAATAAACCTCTGGTCTTTTAAATTGTGGGTGTCACATATTTTTTGTTAACAGTGGGAAAGCTCGCCACAACAGCTTCTGTGTCTTCTTATTACATCCCTATCAATTTTTGATCATTTACTTGATTTCTGGTATTACAGTGTTCCAGGTCTAATATTGAAATAAACCATTTCTCCTCAAAGGCTGGGTCAGAGAAATGGTGATGTAGACAGAATTGAAAACTTTTGAAATTGCCCTGAAAAGCCAAAATTGTTTAAGTGTTGTGGGTGTATTGCTACCCTATGTAACAGCAATATAGTTGGTACAGTTTTTTAAATGTCATATAGCCAGGGGTGGTGACACACACCTGTTATCCCAGCATTTGGGAAAGTGAGGCAGGAAGATCACTGTGAGTTCAAGGCTAGCCTGTGCGACCTAGCAAGACCCTGTCTCAATCTCCCCCAATAGCATTATAAAGCTGAGTCTAATAACATAGCAGAAAAAAAATCTTGACATTTTGCATACCGGGAAAAATAACCATTATGTTTGCTACCCAGTTACAATCGTCCTTTTTAAATTCTTTCCAACATTTTAATATTTTGTAATTTTACTAACAATTTACAGAAGTAATAAGAAGATGATGAAAACAACAAAATAATAATTTAAACATAGCAAACCAATATTTTTCCTTATTTTCCTGGTTTGGGGGTATGTGTAAACTGAAGTGACCCATGCCTTTGAGTGCAACTGACCAAGTTCAGCTGTTGTGTAAGAGCCTGGAACATTTCCTTTGTCATAAATGCTGATTCCAGGTAAAAACACATCTCCACTACGTTACAGCTGAACTGAACTCCTGGTTTTTCTTGCATGTGAATTATCACAATTTAATCTTATTGAAATCTTAAAGGCTTATAACTTTGTAGAAGAAGGCAACTGTTTGTTTCATAAGTACAAAAATATTTTCATTTTCATTTTATTTCATTTAAATTTTATAAATGTTAGATTGATCAGCCTAGTGAGCATTCTTGTATTTTTGCACCTCTTTCTCTCAAATCACACACACACACACACACACACACACACACACACACACACACAAGTAGCATTTGTTAATATATGAGTCATATTAGTAAATTTTTACTCACAAGTATCAAAGATAAGAGAAATGTCACATGTCCTACTACAACAGGGTGGGCCAGGTCCTTGTTACAAGGTATTAAATGATGAAATCCTTCCTGCTGAATGGCTAATGGACTAGATGACCCTATATCCTTTGGTCTTTATAACACACTGTTGACTCTTTGGTTAGAGTTTGAGCAAATAGATTTTTCCTTAGACTGACAGCCCAATATTTTGCTTATGTAGTCAGTTTGACCCCCTAGCAGTGTCTTAAGTGCTTCCATCTGTTTTCTTCTCGCTGATCTACTAACTGTGCAGTGTCTTTTTGTATTCATTTTCCTCTCTATTACATTACCAGCAGAAAATTAAACATTCTGAATTCTCATTTGCGTTTAATGAAAGCTAAAAATAAGGTAACAGAGATGATGTCTCTGAACTCATTTTATACCTTCTTGAAAGATGATGTACTTAAGACACACTATTAGAAAAGCAAAGCTTATTTATTTTTCATTAGATTATTTATTTATTTAATTCTATAGTTTTTTGTTTGTTATTATTTTATTTTTGAGTACTAGGGATTGAATCCAGTCCACTTGCATTGAGCAACATCTTTAGTACCTTTTTATTTTTTAGTTTGAGACAGTATCTCACTAAGTCGCTAATTTTCTTGGGCTGGGGTTGAACTTGGAATCCTCCTGCCTCAGCTCCCCAGAGAGCTGGAATTACAGTTGTGGACCATCACACCCAGCTTAATTATTTTAATTTTTTAGAAGATAGTTGGAAATAATTAATGAGTGATGATTAAATAATTTCTTGATGAACTAGGAAAATGTTTCAAGGTACAGGAAATGTAAGATAATTTAGTTCCATAATGCAGCCTAGATTAAAAAAAATGGTCAACAGATATAAACATTAATAATAGGAAAATGGGTTTGTCTAATTAAAAATAAATAATTTTTCTCTTTGCTCTTTGGAAGACCTCTAAGAAATAATAAAAGTCATGAAATCTCTATGTTTATAAATAGAACTGCTCTACAAAGAATTTAAAAACTAAAATTGGATTCAGTGGAGCCTGATGATTCAGTCATTTATTGAATAAAAGGAGTAAGGAACACTGAAAAGGTCTCTTCTTCCTTACACTTAAGAATACACCAGAACCAAATCCCTAATGAAAATTAACTCTTGATTTTCTTATTTTGTTATTGAGAGATCAATCATATTGTGTTTCTGGGGAGCGAAGAGATATGTTGCCTCTTCTCTATCTAGAGGTTTCTAGGTATTTATTGGTTAAAATAATCTATTACACTTATTATATTATAAACTGTATAGTGTTATACAATTACAAGGCCCTCGTGTTTGATATGTTTGTTTTCTGTACTGTACAGATTTAAGGTCTTTTCCTTTGTCTTAAAAAACCTCCAGGAAGAGAAGATTCTGGTTTCAGACAGGCTCCTTCCTTTAACAAATCAAAGTGGGGAATGTGAATGGAAAGTTTTGGGACACTTTCTAGAATTTGGTATTAGGTTTATAGCTACTTAGCTTCATTTATGATTCTTAAAAACTAAGTAGTAACAAATAAACTTACTGTGTTTGTCCTAAATGGTCTGGATAACTGATCCACAAGTTCAGAAACTTTCATTGTGGTGCTGTAGATTTACAGAGTAAAACATGTTTTTATGTGTTTTTTAAGGTTCATAGTCCAAAAACTGTTACTTTGGTTTGGTTTTCTCTTTCAATGTCAGCAAAAAAATTTTTAAAATCTCATTAGTTAACTTCTTCTCTTGTTAAAATTTTATGACAATTGAATAATCTTGAATTATTAATCTCTTCACTATTTTAATACAACCTCCACTTCATATGTAAGAAACATATGCTTCTTAAGGAATTTGAGAGAGACTAATTTGAACGTTATGTCCCCTTTCCCTTTGCTAACCTGTGTAGCCCATTCGGCAATGAAATCTTAGCTTTTATGCGAGCAACTTAGTGTACTAGTTTGGTCAGAGTCGCTGCTCAGCTTGGGATCTGAAATGAATCAAGCAGCAAATGCTTCTTCCAGCACCAGTCCATCCACCAGAAGACTGCAGTGTGAGCTACAGTTTAAGCCCTGTAGATACTGGCAGAGCTTGGACTGGCAATAGTCATTTTCCTAGCGTCACTGTGCGGTTGGTATGTACGTGTGACTCTGTCCTTGCAGGCTCACCTTCTCTCTCATTGCTTGAGATGTTCACTGTATTTATAGTAAGAACTAGAGTCAGTCTTCGGATGACTTTGAAGCAAACGTATCATAGAGGAACTTCCTGAACTGGGAGTGAGGCAGGAGGACGCGTTCTCATTATAAGACCTTCCTCGATAATGACCTGCCTGGTTAATGACTGTTCAGACTCATGACTGAGGTGCGCAGCTCCGACTTAACAGTCCACATTCCAGCTTTAGATGCAGGAATGTGAGTGATAGTGTAGTCTTCTGGGGGCTTCTCGATGGCACAGTAGCGTAATTTTTGCTGACTGCACTGCACAATACAGGACTGCAGTTTTACGTTCTATTACACATGACAGTACTGCATGGGAGAGTTATGCAAATAAAAGCATAAAAAAGGAGTGCGCCTTTTAAACATTCTTTATTTAACAACCAAGTTCCTTTCCTGGGACAATGTTGTTAACTGAACTAATAGCTAAGTGAGGAATCCTATATAGTATGTGCATTACAGTATTCAGAAAAAAGAAATCACCTGATGACTTTGCTTTTATTTGCATAACTCTCCCATGCAGTACTGTAATGACGGGGCTGCGTCATTACTGCAGCACTTTGTGCCGCGTGGTCATTGCCTGGCTTCGAATCACCCATGTCACAGACCGCATGGTGCTCTCTTCTCCCTTAGCTCTTCATTAACAATGAGTGGCGGAGCTCAGAGAGCGGGCGAGTGTTCCCAGTCTATAATCCAGCCACGGAAGAACAAGTGTGCGAAGTTGAAGAAGCAGACAAGGTAAGGGTTTCTCGGCGAGAGACTGCAGCGGGCACAGCAGAGCAACCCGTGTGCTCCCAAGGCACCACTGCTTGGATTAAGCATCACATACTTTGTGAAGGTTGTATATTCGCTGGTGCAGGTTTGCAGTGCGTGATTACAATCCTTGTGGTCAGTTGGCACAGGTGTGTAACACGTCTTCACTCTTTCCTCCTCTTTTTTCCCCTTCTCATTTGGAAAAGCTCTATCTCCCTACTTCCTCTTATCTATCTTTTATCTTGCTCTTTATTTATATTTTAGATTTCTCCTATCAGAGAAACCATGAGATACTTAAGCTTGTGCTTCTGGTTTATTTCACTTAACGTTTTGGTCTCCAGATGAATCCATTTTCCTACACATAGCTCAAGTTTACCCTTCTTTATGGCAGAGTAGTGGTCCATTTGTGCGTGTCTGTCTCTGGCCATTTGAGAAATGCAAATTAAAACATCACTGATGGCCAGGGATTTAGCTCAGTGGTTCTGCTGCCTGCCTCTCGAGTGCAAGGTCCCGAGGTCGGTCCCCGGTACCAAACCAAACCAAACCAACCAACCAACCAAACAAATAAACAAAAACAGCACCGAGATTCTACTTTACTCCAAAAAGAATGGCTATCATGAAGAAGTCAAATAGCAAATGCTGGCGAGGCTGCAGGGCAAAAGAAATTCTTCTGCATTGTTGGCAAGACTGTAAACTAGTACATCCACTATGGAAATCAGAGACTTTAAAAAAAGCTATCATTAGAAATTCCGTTCAGCCCAGCTCTTTCCTCGGTGTCTTCCTAAAAGAACGAAGGACACCATGTCACCGTGACACAGGCGTGCCCGCAGCACGGTTCATAATAGCTGAATCTTTAAAGCAGCCTAGCTGTCCAGCAAGAGACGAACGCCTAAAGAAAATGCGGTGTTTACACGCGGGCATCACTTTTCTGAGAGAGCCTGTGTCCTTTCTGTATGTAGAGTGTTCTTCTTGGTTGTGCCCCTTCCTCTCTCACAGGCAGACATAGACAGAGCTGTGCAGGCAGCCCGCCGGGCCTTCTCTCTCGGTTCAGTGTGGAGAAGGATGGATGCATCGGAGAGAGGACGTCTGCTGGACAAGCTGGCAGACTTGGTGGAGCGAGACCGAGTGATTCTTGCAGTAAGTAGCCTAAGGAAACTGTGCCCCTTTGTCCCAAGCCCACCTTTTTGCTGGGAGTCGGATGTCTTGTCTTTCTGAAAGCATGCTGTGAAGCGGACCTGGGGGGAAGGCTAGCGCATGCGTAATTCTTGTGAGAAAGGAAGGATGGAAGGTGTTGGAATCAGGTCAGGTAGGGAAGTTAGGGACCAGCTTAGTCTTTTTCTCCTGGCATTTTGAAGGAAAAACTGTAACATTGTGGAACTGGTAAGGATTGTCTTTCCTCAAGCACAAAAGATTCTCCAAGCTGGTTGCAGAAGACCAGTGACAAGGGCTCCTCCTGGGATCGAGTAGGGCAAGCTTTTGGAGTCCTTCAGCTGCCAACGGTAGGATGTGGACCTCTCACACATCCTGCTGTATTTATCGTCTTTTTCTAGAATGTAGAGAAAAGGAGAGACAGCATTTTTTTTTTCACTAGAGCATTTTTCTGATGTAAGGAGCTGCTCCCATCTTAGTGGTTTTTGTTGTTATTGTTTCTGTTGCTGTTTTAAAAATTTTTTAAAAAGCCTTAGTTTTTAGAGAATACAAGCATTTCGGAAAGCGGAGCCATTTGGGAATGGCTCACCCAGTGAGGCATGGCACAGTCCCTGCAGCCACATCGATCGGGTAATGTTCAGAGATTCCTCACGCAGGGCCTTCACGCCACTCCTGCTAACTTGCTTTGGGGGAGGAGCTCATTTGTGCCTTCCTCACTGTCCCTCCAGTCACCCCTCAATCTGCCCAGAGTATTAGAAACAAAGATGGTTCCTTTATGGAGATGGTTTGGAACTGAAAGGTAGGTAATGTGTTGTTGGATGTAAGAAACCAAGCAGAGTGCTCACGCATATAATGAGAAAGGTGCTTCTCGGAGAGCCCCAGACTAGAGGCCTTGGAAAGGCTTAACAATGCCTCTCAAACTGACATTACCTCAGTGTTATTTTTTTCTGGCAAGCCTACTAATGTGTAAAACCTGAGATCCTCCAAATGCTTTGGAGATTCCCAGTGTATATGTTTGTCTCTTCATGGGAATTATCTTTCCTTAAGAGTCAGAATTATGGTTTGCTCTGCTTTTTTGTCATCCTGGCACAGTTCCTGGAGCATAATGGCCAGTAAATGTTTGTCTGAGTCATGTACATACAGATGATGTCCACAGTGTCGGATTAAGGATATGCACTAGAAGATGATGTGGTTACTTCTGCAGTTATATCTTCATATCGTAAGGCTCAAATGCCCCCCTTTGCCTGCCTTGTGTCTCACTGAGACCAAGTCTCTTTTCTCACCACATGAGAACACAGTTCTGACTTTGAAACCCTTCCAAAGTACAGGAGAAGTAACAGTAAGAAGTAGCCGCTAGAATAAAAGACAGCTCAAGATGGAGGAAGATTGACATTAGCACTGTGTCTAAAGTTAGCACATGTGAGAATAGACACAGGGCCGGTAGTTCTGAGGAGAATTACCTAGTCACAGCCTCTTCTGGGGACCACTTATGTGGCCCACGCCCCAATTGCTGACTCTTTCATCCTGTGATTTGTGGATGTTGGCTGTATGGCAACTTCCTGGAGAACATAGCATCATCTTATGAGCCTGCAAATGTTCTGAGAAGTATGGAGAAATAATTTTAAACTCCTTAATAACATTGATCCAGAATACAGCGATAAAGGAAGTAAGTAGATAATCAGAATTTTTTTCTCATTGAGTGGACTATTTCAATTTTAGCTTTGTTAGCCATAAAATAATTTTTACACCAGTATATGATATAAAATTTCCTTATAAAGACATAAAATGGCAAACATACGTTCTCATTTATTTCATTTGTTAGAACTGTAATACCTTTAGTGTGTCTTAATGAAAATACTCATTTCATTGTACTCATTTATCACAGCTTTGGTCATAGACTTCATCAATTTAGGAGCATGCCATTAAAATAATGTTTATAATGTAAAGCTGCTTAATGTTGTTTTTATTAAATGGACAGATACTTTATTCTTAATAGATAATGGTTGTTAACATAAATGTTTACAAAAGCCAGCCTTTAACTGGTTGCAGTTGAGGCTTCCCTAGAGGAGATCTTGTTTATTTGGTGGTAATAAATAAATGCGATGTGCACTGTGAACGTTTCCATTTCTCAGCAGGGGTCTTGGTGACTGTGGAGACATTTTATTTTCTCGTCAATTCATAAAGACCCCATGTCTCCTTGTTTCTTTATGGATCTACATGGCTAGTGAGGAGTAAAAAAATGAATCTCCATTCAGCTCTGACCATTAATGTAACAGAAGGCAGTTTGACAAGCAGAACATTTTATCACCTGTTGTATTTCTGTATTTAGATAGTGGTTCCTGGAAACACACAGGCACAAGAACACACACACACACACACACACACACACACACACACACACACAGAGTCACACTCATTGTTTTTACGATAAACTAAGCCAAACTTATAGTCCTAGAGAATCCTTTATTTGGAAATTAGAATGGAACAGGTATATATCACCAATCATATTCATTTACATTCTCTCTCTTCCTTTTTTTTTCTTTTGCTCCAGAAAGTAGTGTATCCCAGGAACGTTCTCAGTATTTAATTTCTCTCCATGTCTTCCCCTACAGACGATGGAGTCCCTAAATGGAGGCAAACCATTCCTCCAAGCTTTTCACGTGGATTTGCAGGGAGTCATCAAAACCCTTCGGTATTACGCCGGCTGGGCTGATAAAATTCATGGAATGACCATTCCTGTAGGTAGGTGAAATCTGAGGATTTTGAAAAGGGAAATGTGAGATTCCAAATAGAAGCACACTTTTACCACCAGACACAAGCAATAGCTACAAATGATAGAGACCCAAGACTCTTCTATCAGTTTAAACCCAACAAAGAGCCAAACAAATTATGTCAGAGTCTCTGACAGTGCTGCTATTTCTGTAGCTACAGAGCCTACATATAAATGCATGGACAAACCACCTAAATCAGTGTATGAGTCAGCTAAGGGACAGGTGTGCATGTCTGTTAGCTACCAAAGCTGGATTCGGTGTTGGGGGTACCGAGGAGCAGTGGGCAAGAGCAAGTCCAGGAAAATCCAAGAAGATTGAGACTTAGCTCTTGTCCCTTGGGACATAAGATCTTCTCCTTAAAAGGAAGTACTCTAAAATGTTAAGTCATGTCTCCAAGTGGTGGGGTTATGGATAATTTTTCATTTCTTTATTATATTTTCTCCTATTCTCTGTATTTCCTATAATGACCACAGATTTGTTTCATGATCTACAAAAACAATAATCCTGGCTTTTTTTCTTTTTATATTATTATGATCCAAATCAAAACCAAAAAGGTGAAACAATGCCAAATCTCTGCCGGGGAGTTATACATGGGTCAGTGCTAAGTTAGGTCAAGTGTTGAGCCCATTGAGGGAACCAGAAAGTATCCAGGATTAGGGTGGTGGGTCGAGAAGTCTTGGGCTGAGGTTGAATCCTAGTGATGACATCAATTCAGGGCTTCCACGGCAACCCCAAGAACAAGGACCCAGGAGGAAGCTGAAACCTAGAGACGTTAAATAATTTTCCTAATTTACGCGCTAATAAGTTTTAGATCTCAAGCTTTGACTTGAGAGCCTTGGCTTCACTGGAGGATCCATTTCAGCTACTGAGTGGAAGAAATATCATTGCAAGGAAGTAGAGGGCCTCACCAGTGTTTGCTGTGTCAAGATGGACCAAAGCGGTGGGATCATGGAAGGAGGTCAGGCAGGTGGGAGGGCCATAACTACTCACTTATTTTCCTCAGATTTGTTCAGTCGATTCATTTCTGCATGTTTCTAAGTCCATACTTCACATCAGCCTGATTTTGTCTTTGTGTACTCAGCCTTTTCCCAAGTGAAATGGGGATTATAGGAAGGCTCTAGCCTTTAAGCATGAGGTTCGTATTGTGTTACATATATTTCTTTGCAAAAAAAATTTATATTTCTATGTTTGGAAGATGACATAAATTCATAAGTTATTTGCATAACATTCAAAAGTATTATTTCATATACAGTGGACCCTCCAGTTATGACCTGGCCTGACATATGAACAATTTGGACTATGACCCAAATTTTAGTTTTTACTTGTGATCAGAGTCTTGAATTACAACTCTAATGCTGGCCACTGCTGCTTTCAGGTGGTCTTAGATACAGATTGAACCCTTAAAGAGTTCTAGAAGGAAGGTGACAATATCCTTTCCTGTGTGGGGTAAATTGAGAAATCCTGGGCCAATGTCTCTCTCAGGACCCTGAAATCTGCCTGTGTGCAGGGGAGAGACTTTGAAGTCTGTGTAGCGGAGCCTGAGGCTTCAATTGACCAACTTGAGTTACAACCAGCCCTCCAGAATGAATTGAGTTTGTAAGTCAAGGGTCCACTGTATAAGATCTAGTGATTTTGTATGTGATCCTTTGAGGTATGCTGTACTTAATAAGATACACTGTTCCATTTCACAGGTAAGAAAGTAAGACAGTAAGGGTTTAGTGTCTGAAGACAATATGGCCAGTAAGTAGCAGGTCTTAGATTCAAACCCAAGTCACTTTCTGCCTAATCTATTGTAAAATTTGGTGTGCTTTTCACTCTTCTGTAGGGTTTTTGGTTAATATGTACTTGGTTCTAATTATTCAGTTATGTTCTATAATGTTGTCACAGACACTGAATTCACAATTTCTAAACTGTTGCTCCTAGGATAAATGTCTACTAGGTGCCTGTGAGTGTCTAGGCAGAACATTTTTGTCAACCATTCAGAACATGAGCTTGTTTTATGTGTGCTTCTCTTGAAAGACCCTTTCTTTAACAGCTACTTTTGGTGTATGAGCATTGAATTCATGTCAAGTTAGCCAGCAGCACAGTAGCTTGTACCCAAATGGGCTTGGCCTAACATGAGTGTCACATTCTGGGGACACCAACAGGACTTCTGCATTGTGCTTAGGAGCCATTAGAGCAAAATCATAAACAAAACCACATAAATGGGAAAAGATGGTACTAATGAAATCACAAAAATGGCTCCCTCTTTTTTTTTTTACAGTGTTAAGAGCTAAAGCAAGAATTCTGAGTGTCACCTTGTTCAGCTTTCACTGAGATCATATGTGTAGGGACAGAGAGATTGTTTTTCCTGTAAATGATTGTGAAAATGCTGTGGATATTGGTTTTCGGGTTGCTTTAGCAAGGAGGCAAGTTTGCCAATCCAAAATCTGTGAATAATGAAGATGGACCACATCTAGACTGTTTGGGCAAGATAGCACTTATGAATTTCACATTTTCAGGAACACTTGTGGTCGTGGATCTCCCTGCCTGTGTCATGTATTTAAAGTTGCTTTCACAGTGAGTGTTTGGGAGGAAAAGCATACAGCTGTGGCTGGTCACACATAAAAAATAACCTGAAAAGTTTTAAAATTAAAAATCTAAGAATACTTTGGTTTCCTACATTGAATGACATGATAGTTCAGCTAGCTTAGCATCTCTGATAAAAGGTAAGAGGCACAAAGAGTGGGAAGAGTCATGTTGCTGTCTGTTTCCCTTCTTCCTGTTTAGGGAGGTTGAGGAAAGACACCCTGGAGTAGGAGGAGTGCTTCCTCCACCTTCTCTGCGACCATTACCTTCAGCTTCTTACCTATTTATTGTTCATTTATTCATTCACTGCACAGAATTTTTTGAGCATCTGCTGTATTCTGTGTTGTGCCTGTGCTGGGCTCTGGGGATAGGAAGGTGAACAGCTGAGATGTTCAGAGAACAGTAATTGCATTTCAGGGTGACCTATTCAGAGGGTGAAGCATGAAGTTCAGTGGCTGAGCATTACATTTTCCTGCAGAGGGCACCTTTCCCATCTGCCTAAGAGCTATCTCCCTGCTATGACGGGCAGGTGAGATGGAGAGGGGCGTCACAGGGAGCCACAACAGGAGAAGGGACAGGAACATCCTGGGCCTGCATCAGTTGTCCTATAAATTTTATTCTGCAGGCAGTGGTGAGACACAGAATAGATGAATTTTAAATAGATGATTACTTTGGTTGAAATGGCATTTAGAAGGCACTTTGCAATGAAGAATAATCAGCTGATGAAACTAAGTATCCGTTTGCTTGTCCCCGAAAGTGTTGCCTCCCAGGAAAAGTTCGGGAAGAGCGGAAAAGGATTATTACTTTTGAGTGATTACCCAGCCAGCTGTTTCCCCCTCTGAATCAGGGGTTTGTCCCACTGCTCCCCACTCTGCTCCACCCAAGGCCCACACTTGGACGTTACTGAAGAGTTATGCAACATCAGTTCAATTCACAAGGATCTAGATGTTGTTCCCTGTGCTGCACTGTCCATCATTTCATGCCATGGAGCCATTCTCTCTGACCACACGTCCTGGGCTTTGACCCTTCTCCCCAGCTCCTATTTATGATGATAAATAATAATCCTTACTATGCTTTATGGGATGCTTTCTTTGTGCTGACTTATTATCTCCAATCTCATAGCAGCCCTGACGAGGAATATTATTCTCCCCATTTTGGTTATTTTTAACTTATATCCGATCTGCTGTTCTTGCCTGTCCATAACTTCCTTGCAGTGGAGGAAGGATCAGAGCTTGTTTTTCAGTTTACTGAGGGAGAAATGGGAGTTAAAGGACTTGTGTCACCTTAGATTTTTCTGTGCAATGAGTGCTGATTTTATTGATTTTATGGTGTGTAGGGAAAATGTAGCCCATGCTTTAAACTTAATGCTGCCCTAAAAAATAGTCTTATGACATAGTAGCATGTGAAAAACATTAAAACTATGCAGGGCATATGTAAAATATTTATGTTTCTTTCAGCTTTTTTCAGTTGAACCTATTAAACTAAAAATAGGCTAGAAAGGTACACAGGTATTGCCTGGGATCCTAAGGTTTTGCCTTCAGTCCTTGAAGGTGAGGTCAGTGCTGTCAACTGGGAGCACATAGGGTGAAATCGGAGACCCTGACACCTTGAGTGAAGGTAGCCAGAACTCTGTGCTCTGCCCACCCGAGAAGGATGGGCTGTTATTAGTGGGATCTGAATCGGTAGTGGCAAAGGTCATGAAGTCGGCCTCACAAGGAACCTCTGTGAGAGGCTGTGGTTGAAAAGGGATCCATAAGGCCAGTCTCCTCATTTTATAGAAAGAGCAAGCAAGTCCTGAGAAGTAAATTGACCTTTTAAAGGGTGTGTAACATAATAATATTGGGGCTCAGACATCTTCATGACAGGTTCAGGAATGTGTAATCTAACTTCTTAGACTCTAACTGGCAGACTCCTGGGCTGCTAACAGTGTTAGTACCATGTCAGGCTAACGTGAAGTTCCATCGTTTGAATAGCTTTTTACAGAATTTATTGCTGAAGTTGTAAAATGTTTGGAGAGATCTGTAGAGTGTCAGCATGCACAGGGAGCTATGAGGTCACATGATGGAGTTGATTTGAGTTGGTCTCCCTGTTTAATGTTTGGGTCATCAGAAGGGGTGTTAGCTCCTCAAAAGGTAATTCAGTGTGAAGATTGGAGGTGCGAAGATTATCTTTATTTACTGAATTAGGTTACAGATTTTTATGTTCCTGAATAACCCCATTTGTATTGTTGATAGTTGTATATATCTTCTACAGTTCTCGAAATGTTCTTAGTGTTATAATTAGGAACTCTCTGATATTCTTCTCCTCGATTTCCGGCACATTTTGGAATGCATGGTCTTTAATCATTCCTGCATGATTTTTACCTGATTTTAATGAGTACACAGATCCCTAACCCCATTTTCA